AGATACGATCCTGAACAACTTAAAAGAGGTTTTAGCCGTCGATCAAACATTTTGTGTAATGCCGGCAGTATTGTAACTTTCAAGATTTATAATTCGAAAAGTATTCAATAAAAAATAATTTTATTAGTTTTGAAAAGCTCTCGATATCAGCTTAGATATTGGAATAAAAAAATTGGATGTTCCATTTAAAAAAATCGACGTGACCTTAGCGACGACGCGCGACATCACCTAAGATCAAACTGATAAGATGAAGATCAGTTTGAATAGATTTTTTTTAAACCCTACAACTTTTGTCTTAACACTTTTATGATTGGATCTTACCCTGCGAAGATAAAAGGGATGTATGAATGATCTGAAACTCGATATATAGAAAATAAGCTAAAGAAAAAAGAACTTTTACTTCTCACTTTGTGGATCTGTTACGTGCCAAAGAAAATTTTCGACTATCTATATCGTGAAAATTTGGAGTTTTCTTTACAAAATCGTTTTTTTTTATATTTTTATGTTTTTACAATTTTTTGTTTTTGAATTATTCGCGAGTTAAATAAAAGGAGCATTCTGATTTTAATTACTCAAATTGGATTAAACTTGATTAAAAATCATATCGTATTGCAATTAAAAAATAGATTCTTAAAGCTGAAACGTTAGTCTGTCGAATAGTATCATACTAATTTTTTAAATGTAAAATAAATAGAAATTTGAATAAAAAATGTGATTATTGGGTTGTCCGGAAAGTTCGTGCCGATGTTGAAGGAAAATTGAAACGCAGATTTAAATTTTAATATACATTTATTGTATTAAATTATATAGGTTAGTCGGTACAAACTTTCCGGGCAACCCAATACTTATAATCATTGCGCAATGGAAAAGTAATATCACATTTTAGCTCAAATATACATGGTGCGTCAGCTAAATCCGGACAAAACAAATAGTTTATTAATAAAACATCATTTTATTTAGAAAAAAACTTGAAACACAAACATTGTTTTGTATGAATCTTCTCTGAGTTTTACTCAATATAACTATTACTCAATATAACCCTTTTATTGCGATCACTGCTTCAATCCTTTATCTAAAGCGCGAGTACACTCTCTTTAATTGCTTCTTGTTTAAATTCATATATCACTGCCTCAATAAATTTAAAAAGTTGCCACGTTGAGGTGTCTGATTAGACATCTTTTCAATAATGCCCCAAAAGAAATCTAAGAATTTAATAATCTGGAGTATTAGAAGAATTTCTTGGATCAAAACGCGTTTCATGTTGTTAAAAAGCCAATTTTGCACTAAATGGCTTGTGTGAGCCCTTCTGTTAAAAAATATATGGCCTTTCGGAGGCTGTAGTTTCCATCCATGGCTTCATTACAGTTCTCAGAATCCAGAAATAAACTTCCTTCGTGATGGTTTCTCCTGAGAGCAGCAGACGATTATGGGCTATTTAGCGAAGTTCGTTGCAAAAATCAACAAGATTGGGATCGTTGGGTCTCAATGTTTTTATTGACGTATAGGTCTTCGAAACATGAGGCAGCCGATATATCCCCCGCTGAGGTATGTTTCGGTCGAGACCTCAGGTTACTCGTAGATTTGTTAAGAGGAAATCCACCGGAGATAGAGAAAAAAGGGTTGGTAGGAGGGTACATTGGAAAGTTAAGAGAAAAACTTAAGCAGATTCACAATCAAGTTCTTGACTGAATGAAAATTAGATCCGAACGCATGAAGATCTAGTACGACCAGAAGACTAAACAGATACAGTTTCGTGAAGGACAGAAAGTTTGATTTTTTAATCCTCGTAGGAAAAAAGGTAGGAATCCTAAACTACAGAGTAACTGGGAAGGACCTTTCATTATAGTCGACAAGCTGAGTGACGTAGTCACAGTTTGGTAGGATATCTAGACACAGAAGAAAGGTAGTTCATGCAGACAGGTTAGCTCTTTATGTTGGCGGAGAGACAATTAGGAGAAAGTTAAATTAGGTCTTCCAGGAGCTCGTACATAAAAAATAGAATTCAAAATATTTAGGAATTAAATAAGCTATTTACATATAAACCAATTATTGCGTTTATTCTTTTCCAATCACAAAATTCAGTACTGATACAAGATTCGAGCTCGTTCGCACATCACACAAAGAGAGGTTTCGTTCTGCGATTCTGACGGCAATAGAAGAGCGATCGGCACATAAATAAATGAAAAAAAAAGAAAACAATTTGTAAAAAGAAAACAACTTGAAAAAATGTATTTTTGAGGCTTCCACGGGTGCTTTCTATATAAAGATTATCTGTTTCGCGGGTTTCCTCCGTGAAGAAAAAGAAAAGTGGGTGGGAGGGGAAGAGGTGGGGAAAATTCCTCAGATCAGTCTTTAATAACCGAATGGTTTTCCATTTTATTTATGCTGTAGCCATTATATCTCTATCTAGAGTGTTAGGTGTTCTCTATACTTTCCAAGAAAGTATAGAGAAGCCATAGAGATACAAAAACATCCTAACACTCTAAATAGAGATAATGGCTACAACATAAATAAAATATGGAATTCTCTCGGTTAGACCGACTAATTTCCCCCACCTCTTCGTCCCCCTCTCTAATTCTCTTCTTTCCCCCACTACTCCAACAAGTAGCGTAATATAAGAGGCTCAGTATCAGGCTGCTCCTCGCTCTGATAAAGTGAATTACAAGGTTCACAAAACGTTGGCATTCCAAGAATCTAGACACGGAGGAAACTCGCGGGACGGAGGATAAATGCCGAGGCAGAAATTGGGGACGGGATTGAGGTATCGCGGTAAAAGCTAAATTTCCCTATCCAAAAAAAGAATCAAAGGCTCAAGGGAAGAATCAAGAGATCGAGAGAATTCTGATGAAGCAGTCGAAAGTCTGCTCCCATAGACACTGAAAAACGGAGGCTCGGTAATCTGTGTAATAACGCAGAGTAGAGCGTGAAGCCGTTTTGAAATATTGGTTGAACGTTGAAGTTATGATTGTCGAGACAATAGTCTATGACGACAATAGTTTTCTCTTGACTGCACTATCGCCCATCAGTGCAACACTCAGACAGTGTAACGTGTTTCCTTGGCTAGTGATAGGCGAACTCATTCAGTGTAGGGTCCTAGATATAACAGAGAAGCGGAACCGCTTCCCGACTTCTGATTGGTTCTACCATTTTTTTCTACGGAAAGTCTTCTAGAATTCTAAATTCAGTAAGTATCATGATTTTTTAATCTTGATATGAATACTCTCCAAAGAAAATCAGTATTTCTTAGTAGTCAGTAGAAACACTACTGTTATAGGAATCGCACTTCGTTTGCAGAATGACAGATGTAAACGCAGATCGCCATTTTTTCTTTAAATGATTAATTATAATCTTTAAATAGGTTGCGCTTCTCTGTTATCTCTAAGATCTCTAATTCAGTGTAACGTGGCTATATAGTGTAATGCAAATTTTATGCACGAAGTGGGGTTTTACTACACGATCTCAAAGAGACGGTGTAGAGTTAGTTAGTTAGTTAGCCAGTGTGACATTAAAAATTTTAAAAAAAGAAGTCAACCGGCAGCAGAATTAAACATGATAGCATGAAATAGTATATATCATGTATGTATACTTTTATAGTGCAACACTGATGCAGCACTTACACGCAACTGGTGTAATGCGAAGTTATACTCAGTGTATTCCAGAAAGAAAACACTATAAAGGAAAGGGAGAGCAATGTTATATCCGCACTGCTTCAATTCTACGCGCTGAATCGTGTCATGAGCGAGAAGGATTGACAGACGGTTGCCAAGAAGACGCCGTTAGAGTTGGATTGGATTTTAAACTGTCAATGCATCCGTTCGAGCTCGTTTCCTTCAGAAACACTATTCACTGTAACTTAGCCATTGCTTTTATGCGAGTGTTAATAAAGAGTCGAGTTTTTATAATTTACGTGTTGTTATTTCTGCGATTTGAGCGTGCATGTTCACTCGGATTAGTGATTCGATTGTGCATAGCGAATAACGCACGGCGAGTGTAACATTTTAGATGATAGCCGGTGTCCTTGCAATCTTCTCTCTGGAATCTGATCCACACTCTGCCTCGCTGGATTAGCAGAACTTTCTTCGCATCTGCATACTTTTGCGCCATGTCGTAAATGATCGATCATGGGTATCTGAAGAACTAAATAATTTCGATCGGTGAACGGCGCGAAGCACTTCAATTATCGTTCTTCGGTTGTACTCTGCACTTAATCTCACTAACTCTGATATTTATACACGTTCCATATTAACATCTGACTTACCGAGCGCCAACAGTCTACTGCTAAAGTAATGTAATGGAAAATTCAATTTAATTTTATCTGAATTTATCTGAAGCACCTGTACATAATCGTATATTCTAAAAAAATTAGTTACATCACTTGATAGAGAAACGTTTCAACTTCAAGAATGTTTTATTAATTATGGTACGATGATTTTTAACAGAGTTATGAGCGATCAAAAACAGAATCTCTTTTATTTAATGCGCGTGTAACTCGATAACAAAAAATCGTAGGAATATTTTTTAAAAACAAACTTTTAGGAAAAACTTTAAGCTTTCACATCAGATAGACAAAAATTTGCAACAAATACATTCTGTATATAATTTTGAGTTAACAAAATTCCGAAAAATTTTTCTCCAACCTAATATTATTTAAAAAAAAAAAGAGTTGAAATATTAAAAACAATTATGAAATTACCAAGTGTATAAAGAGATTGTTTAAATGTCTAGCAACAATGACTGAGAATTTTGCTTTAAGTTTGTCCAATCGCCTTTTTTGTTCAGTAACAGCACTTAGTTTGTCTAAGCCCGATGGAAGAGGTGCTGTGATAGCTTTTAAGAGGGCTACACCAGCAAGGCCAAGCTCTTCTCTCTCGCCTGGAAGTTCTGCTTCATTCAAGGTACGTTGGTACGTTGCAGAAATATCTAATTGCAACTTAAAAAGAAAAAAAATTATATAATTTCGTATTCTTCAACAAACTAAAATAGGATCTGATAGAAAATTCTGATTAAAAAGTTATGCCATATCTTTTATAATGTTTTTTTATCAAATTATTGTAATGATATTTTACATATATTATTTAAATCTTGAGGGGATCCTAAAAGTCATCTATATTACCGAATTAAACGATTAATAATTTTTGTATAACAATTATTTTTTTCTTGTTTATAAATTTAAAAATTATTTTCCAGGATAAAGCATATACATTAATAAGTGTCTATGAGAGTTTATGTCGAGGACAAAAAACTTTAAATTGAAATCTTCTTTACCATTTCTTAGTCCAATATGGCATTAGAATTGTCAATATCATAACATTTCCTTGATATAAAAGCTTTGCAATCTGTACTTACGAAATTGTGGTCCACAAACACATAATTCGCATGAACAAACAACGTCGAAGTCTTGGAATTAGATTTACAAGGGGAACACTAGATGACGATGTCGGGTATTTTGATGCGTTTTTTACAGGCAGTTCTTGAGCGAAAAAAAAACGATACGTGTCGATCGTTTCAACTATTGGCCATAATTTCGAAGAAATCGATTTTTTAAATAATTATTGTAATAATTTAAAAAACAATAATAAATATTAATTAGCGGGCAATGAGAGTATATACGGTACTTGACGTGCAATACATAATATATTTACTATAATTTTATTATAATTGTTGATAATAAATTTCTTGAATGTTTCGATTTATTTTAAACCGTCATCAGCAATCCATATAATTTCCACGAACAATATTCTAATCCGCACATGTTGGAGATGGTTCTGCGTTCGACAGAGGATGAGCATATCCTTACTTTTTAATTGAGAAATGCCGTTAATTTTTTTCGTTGGATAACCAAGTGAATAACGTCCGTCTTTGCAGATCACAATTCGAAGTGCATGTGATTATGATACGATATATAGAAATAAATTATAGACATATTATTTTAAAATACTATCCATGTGAAAATCAAATATGTAATGGTAGTACAATAATGTAAAATTATAATAAATATATTATGTATTGCACGTCAAGTACCGCGCTATGTATACTCTCATTGCCCGCTAATTAATATTTATTATTGTTTGAATTTCGAGAGCCCTATTAAATATAATTTAGTTCATTTAAAAAACGTATTATATGTAGGAAAATATCAATATCTATATAAATTTCATTTTGAGACTTGGTTAAGTGAGAGACTTGGTTAGGTGGCGTGAATGAGAATGCAAGCGTTGCGGAGAGTGTGTGAGAAAGAATAGCGAATAATAGGCGAGTATTGCGAATAATTAGATGAGGACGTGCGATTCCACGAAAGCGGGCAATAAGGAAGTCAAGAGAGTGGAGGCAGAGGTAGGCGATAGATAATAGGAGACAGGCGAGAGAGCGTGACGAAAGAAGTGATGGGAAAGGAGCCGGTGGACATGGCCAGCGGGGGGACGGGTAGAGAAGCCAAGGCGAAACAGGAAACGGAGCAAAAAAAGATAACGAGAAACAAAAAGGAGCATTCGTGAATATTAGGAAAAAAGGCAAAGCGGATAGGATGAAAAAAGAATTGCGAGAAATTACGGAGAGAAAGATAGAAGATATGAGAAAGAAAATACACGGCTGGCTAGAAAGAGAAAAGTCTAAAAAAGTCAAAAGTCTAAAGGAGGAATGGGCGAAACAAATGGAAGAGGCAGAGGTTAGAGTAAGGGAATTGACAGAGAAAGGCAGAGAATTGGAAGTCAAATTTGAGCAGCTAGAGGGAGAGGTTAGGGAAAAAACAGGGAGCAATAGGAGAGAAGAGAGTGAACAGGAAGAGGCCAATACTGGAGTAAGTGGCAAAGGAAGGTATACAGGGACAGGGTCGGTTTAATGAGAGCTAAGTTATAGAGAGGTCAATACATTGAAAAGATAAATAGCGAAAGAGAGGAAAGGATGCTGAATTTTGTCATAAAAGGGAGATATAGAGATAGAATCAAAAAGTAAGAAAAAGAAGCAGAAAAGAAGAGAGATATGGATAAAAGAGTGGATAAAAGAAAAGTTAGAGGAATGTAATATAGTTGCGGTTAGAGAGAGTGGTAGTGTATATATAGTTAAGATAGAAGGAGAAGAGAAAAAAAAGAAATCATGAAAAAGCACAAGTTAAAAGGGGAGAGAATATTTATAGAAAATAACTTAAGCTGGAAGGAAAGGAAAATTCAAGAAAAAATGAATAGATGGACAAAGGAGCAAAGAGGCAAGGGAAAGGAGGTAAAAGTAAGATTAGGAAGAGTGAAAATGGAAGGAGCATGGAAAGGATAGAGATAGAAAAAGAAGAGGCGGAGAGAAATAAAGGAAATGTAGAAGAGAACAAGAAAAATAATAATGCTAGGGACGGAGCAGAGAAGAATTTCGGTTGAAGAGAAGAGGAGGGGAGAAAAACGAGGATCGAAGAGAAGAAGTAAAAGAGTAAGGGATATCAACAAAAGAAAGAAGAAAGAAAATATAACGGAAAAGGTAAAAAGAAATAGGAAAATAGGTATAGAAATAAGGGGGAGGGGATAAGAAAGGTAATAAGAGGAAGGGGGAAAGGGAGAAGGATATGTTGTTCTGGAATTATGCAAGAATATGGAATAAAGATATAGATTTTTCGAGGTATGTGAAAAGTTTTGACTTTATCAGCCTATGTGAAACATGGATAGAGGAAAAGGATTTGGAGAGTTTAAAGGACAGATTATCAAGGACACATATATGGGAGTGTCATTTTGCAAGGAGGAAGGGAAAGGTTGGGCTAATAGTTTTATAATAGGGAAAAGAAACGACTAGAAGCTTCAAAAAGATAGGCTAATACAAGAGGAGAGAGAAGGTATAATAAATAATAAATAATATTTAATAATAAGGATTTAATAATAAATAAGGAAAGAGAAAGGATTATCTCGGTTTATGGAGAACAAGGAGGAAAAAATTTGGATGAAAAGATGGAAGAATGTATAAGGGAAAAAGAAGAAGGAAATTTAATCGTGGAAGGAGATCTAAATATAAGAATAAGGAAACTAGGAGGAATGTAAATAGAGGGAGAAGGGATGGAGAGATGTAGCAAAGATAAAACTGTAGGAAATAGGAGCTTTGTGAAATAGAAAAAAAGGGTAATAAATAAAGATTTATACATTGTAAACGGAAGCACACCGGGGGATTGGACGAATATACGTATATAGGAACGAGGGGTAATAAATTATTCGATTATAGATTATGTAATGGTTAATGAAGATGTGAAGGATAGGATTATAGATTTTAAAGTGGATGTAAGAGTGGATTCGGATCACTTGCCGTTGTGCTTGAAGATCAGGGAACAGGAAGAAAAAAAAAAGAGAATCCAACCACAGAAGCGGAACGAGTGTAGAAAGAAGAAATAATAGCCTGAGATGTGGATTGATGACAATTGAAAGATACCAGAAGGAAAAAAAACGAAAAGAAGAAATACAAGAAGGGAAAAGAAAATCGAAGAAAACTGAGAAGAAATTAAACAAATAGTATATAATGCATTGAGAAGAGGGTAAAAAGGAAGAATAAGGAGTTAGGACACAAGGACAGGAAGTGTATCAAAAATAAGAGGGAAGTAAAAAAGTCGTATTGGAGATGAAGGAAAGGAAAAATAGGAAGACTATTTGCAAGAGAAAAGGAGATTTAAGGAATTGCTGAAGAAGAAGAGAAATTAAGGAACTTGAAAAGAGAGGGGAATATATAAAAATATATTAATAAGAAAAGGGGCAGAAAGAGGCAGATTGAAAATAGCATAAATAAAGAACAATGGAGAAATCATTTTAAGGAACTGAGTAGCGAAGAGGCTAGTGGAGAGAAAAGAGAAATGAAAAATGAAAGCACAAAATTGGAAGAAGAAGAACTGAAGGAGATAAAGAAGATACTAAGAAAAATGAAATTTAGGAAAGCTGGCATCGACAGGATATCGACGAGAAGCGTGGAAATATGCAGGGAAAAGGCCATGGACGAAGTTGGTCTTTAATAAAGATGATATGGAGAAAAAATTTCAGAAGATTTGAAGAAAAGCATAATAGTGTCCCTGTATATAAGAGATGATCAAGAAAAAACAACAAATTATAGAGGGATATCATTGGTATATACAACATATAAATTGTATGCAGAGGTGCTGAAAAATAGACTAGAGAAAGAGGCGAAAAGAATGATCCCAGAAACTCAAGCAGATTTCAGAAGAGGAAGGTCGACGATCGATAATATCTTCGTGATAATATTATATACATTATACAGAGGAAAGAAAACAAAAAAGGAGAAAATGGGAAAGTTTTCATGATGTTTACGGATCTGAAGGCTGCCTTTAACAAAGTGGACAGAGACAAATTACAGAGGGATTTAGGGCTTGAGGGAATAAAAAAGAGCTTGGTTAGAAAAATTGAGAAGATCTACAGGGAACAGAAGTAACGGTTAGAACGAAGTTAGGAAATACTGAAAGTTTTGTAATGAAGAGAAGCAGGGATGATGAGTCCACTCCTTTTCAATTATCACAGACTTAGACGAAAAATTTAGAGGCAGAGATATCGGAGGAATAGGTATAGATAAAGGATTTGGAATCTTGTGTATGCGGATGATATAGTTCTATTCGCAAAAAATAGGAAAGTCCTGCAGGATATGATAGAAAGTTTTAGGAGATTTTTAGAGGAAAAGAAATTAGAGCTATGTACAGAAAAACTAAGGTATTGGTATGTAATAAGAGAGGAAGAGAAAAAATATGGAAATGGGGTAAAAAAGAGATAAAAGAAATGCAGGAATTTAAATGTCTAGACTTTATTTTAAATAGATGGGGCAACTGTAAAGAGCATATTAAAGAATTAAGTAGAAAGGGTAAGATGGCGATAAGAAAGATATGAGGTTTAGGAGAGAGGATGTGCAGGAACGATTTCAGAAGAAGATGGATCTTATTTAAATATTTGGTGCAAGGTGTTATGGCTTATGGAATAGAAATATGGAATTTGGAAGAGAAAGAGGAATTGAAAAAGGTTATGATGGATTATATAAGATGGATATTTAGTTTGGATTTCTGCATAATTTAATCATGAAGGAACTTCTTATGGTTAAGCTCAGAGTAGGATGAGGAATAAAAGCAAGGAGATTTGAGTATGAAATAAAATCAGGAAGGGCAGGAAATTTGACAAATGCGATTTGGGAAGAAAAGAAGAAGAATGATTGGGGGGGATGTATACGAACAGAAAAGGAAGTATTTCAATAGGAACGGAGTATAGAAGCAAGGGAAGTGAATGAGGAAGATTTTGAGGATCAATTAATAAATAGAAAAAGAGAAGTGCAAAGATAGTGAGAGGACGGTAAAATTCAAAAGGCAAGGTATAACGAGAAATATAAGGAAAGAGAGACAAATAGCAGGGTCCCAGAATATTTGAGGAAAGGTAACTTAAGGGAAGGGAAAAGAGGAGAAAAGGTGAGAGCCTTGTTCAAATTAAAATGTGAGAATTTAGAAAAAGTAATAAATACTGGGTAGAAGAGCATAGGAAAAAGTGTATATTCTGTGACAAAGGAAAAGATAATTTAAAACACATAGAGGAATGTTTAGAAATAAAAGAAAAGTTTACTAAATTAGGAAAAGATAAAGAAGAGATCTTACTAGGAAACTGTGTGATGAAAAGTTAAATGAGGTGAAAGGGGAAATAATAAGGAAATTATGGAAAGAGAGGGGAGTAGTGAAAAAAGTCAAAAGAGGACAGGGAGGAAATGTATAGGTAGAGGGAAGGAATGGAAGGAAAAGAAAAGTAAGGTGAACTAAGAAGTAAGTAAGAAATAAATATGTGATAATAATAATAGATGGTGATAAGTCTGTGATATAGAGATAATGTATGTAGATATTGAACGAAAATATATTACATTAGAAGTAGATATAATTAAGAGAGAAAAACGGATAAAGCGAAAAGAAATAAAATGAAATAATGTAGATAAAGAAGCGAAGTCAGAGGACCAGAAAAGTAGGGAAGTAAAGCAAACATTTTTTTTTAAATTTTTATAGTAATATATGCGACAGCTTGCGGACGAGATATGAATGAGTTAAGAATTTTATGTATATAAACCAATTCTCCTTCTTGGCTGTAAATACGCTGATGTGTAATAAAATTCTATTCCATTCTATAAATTTCATTTTATTTCATCGAATATTAAGGATAAAATTACATCTGGGTGGATGATTCTGAACGCAGCAAGTACACCGCGCGCTAATCAAAATGTTGCTCACTTCAATAAGCATTCGACTTGCTCATGCAGCGATTCTTCGTACTGAAGAAGTATTCGATGAAATAAAGTGAAATTTATTCGATGAAATTTATAAAGATACTGATATTTTTCTATACATTTTTCAAATTATTACAATAATTATTTAAAAAATCGATTTCTTCAAAATTATGGCCAATGGCTAAAATAGCCGGATACGTATCGTTTTTTTTTTCGCTTAAGAAGCGATATAAAATGCGCATTAAAATCGATACCATAATCTGATATTCCCTTTGTTAGACACTTTATCGCGACGAATTTATTATACGAAAATTGACACAAACGTGCGACTGCATTTATCATAGTAGCATGAGATATTGATGTAGTAATCTATATGATATAAAGATATGTTGATATGCTGTAAAACAGCAATTTTTGATGACCTTATCAGAGTTCGGGCTTCATTTTAGAATCCCCTTAAATTATTTATCATATAATACAAATCTATTATTTTTAATATAAAGTAAGGCTATCTAATATTGCTGAATTAAGGAAATATTATTTAGAGAAAGAGAGAAAATTTAAAAATAAACAACATTGAAGCATCATTTTGAAAATCGCGATGTAAACAACGATTTATTAAAAAATAAAGTTTATTTAATGCATTTGCAATTGAAAAAAAAATAAATTTATTGCCTTTGCAATTGAAATCCTTAGATTTAAAAAAAGTCATAACAATAATTTAATAAGAAAACAATCTACAAACATATATTTAGGAACATTTAGAATTATATATATCTCCTAACACAGATATCTCAAGCTTCTATCATTTTATAATTGTAATAAGTAAGGTATGAATCATGATGGAATTAAGGATCGACAGGAGTGACAAGCCAATTCATTTGCACTTTATTTGTATGTGTGTGTGTGGTGCAAAATAAGCCAAAACGCGTTTTATGACAAAATATTTTTTCTACGAAACGATATATGGTAAAGTCTAATAGTGTGCAACTACATATCTGCTACATTATTAGACTCTATATATTGTTTCGTAGAAAAAATATTTTGTCATAAAACTCGTTTTGGCTTATAGTTTATGAAATTACGAAGCCTGTTAAAGAACCAAATTTTGCAGTTTCTTTCTTAAAAACATTTTTAATGAATAAAATGATATACTCCTTATTTACGATGCTTGTTTTTATGCTTATATTATGATATTTTCTCCAAGAAGTAATATTATGTCATAAAACTTTTAGCTTGTTTTTTTATGAAGTTGGGAAGGCTCATACAGAGCCGGATTTTGATTCTTGAAAATTTCTTAATAAAATTATGTATACCTGAACTGCACTATAATACACATCAGGAAATTTCAGAACAATTTTTATTTTGCCTATTTTCTAAAAAAAACATCGTTCTGTACGAGCCTTCAGGAGCCTTTTCTGATTACAAATATCGCAATTAAAACACAATTCATCCAGTATTTTAGTATAAAGAATTTGAGCATAATAAGAAATTCGTTTTCAACTAGAGGTCTCCATAATCTCTCCTGTCAATCCTTAATAAGGTGAAACATTGCGCATAATGATGGTAACAATACTAGAAATAATCAATCAAATGTTCCCCAATATGCACTTTTCTGTATATAATAGCGCTGGTTATAACAGTCAATCAAACATTACCTAAATTCGCTCTCCTGCCGTGCATTCACGAGAATGCTTCACCTTATTAATTCTATCATGGTGTGGATGAATGTGATCCTGGGGTACGCGTGGAGAATTGCTGTGTGCGAGTGAGTCGCTCACTGAAATAAGATAGCAACATTTCTCGAGGAGATTCGAAGCCTGTTGACTGTACCTGATTTATTCGAATATATCTCGGTTGGTGCATGGTCTATTCAATGTAAATGGAGAATTTTTCTATTGATTTGAGACGAAGAACGCTTTTCTTCAAAATTTTCTGAAATTTTTAGAAGAAAAATTGGCCTCAACTGAAATTGATAAAAATATTTATGTTTTTACAAAGCCAGATTGATTTATTGTAAGCGTTGTTCTATTTTATACAACTTCATATTCTATAAATTGACACGACACAAAATAACAAACATAAACAATATTTGTATAAAATTATCAAAATTATTGGCAGATTGCTGCCTTTGCAGTGTCAATAGTTGTGAAGACAGAATCTGCTAATAATTTCTATGTAAATATTGTTTGTTTACTACTTTACTCGTGTCGATTTACAGAATATAAAGTTATACAAATAAAACGACGCTTATAATAAATTTGGTCCGGCTTTTTAAAAATATCATAAATTTTTATCAATTTCATTTGAGACCAATTTTTCCTATAAAGCATCTATTTCAGCATCTTGAAGGAAAACATTTTCACGCGATCTCAAATCAATATAGAAAAATCAATACAGAAAAAATCTCCGTGCTCTATTTACATTGAGTAGGCTATTCGCTAAGATAGATATTGCTACGCTTGGCTTATCACTGAGACACTACCGTGTCTTCAGATATTCGAATAGATCAGTAGGCTTCGAGTCTTCTTGAAAAATGTTGTTATCTTATTTCAGTGAGCATCCTACTCATTCACATGCATCGGTTCTCTGCGCATGCCTCCAGGATCGTGCCTAAATATCACCTTAATAATAAAAAAAATAATTTCATAATTTTTAATTATACTTTGTTCTCTTCTACTTACAATTACTAGATTTAACTTATCCAACAAAAGCCTAGCATTATTATTCGCTGTATGTATAGCTTGATTTTTTTGACCAACTCGAGCCATAACTTCTCTTATTCTTCCTAAAGCTTCATCATACGCCGCTAGTCGCGTTTCTACGATAGAAGCTTCGATTATTGCTGCGTCTATACTATTCATCAGTTGTGTTACTCTCTGCTCTGATGCTAAGACTGAATGTACATTTTCCTAAGGAAGAATTTAATAAACTATTAATAAACTATATTAAGATATTATTTAAATTTCTTTATATATTATATGTATTACTTATATTTCTACGATAAATTTTTTATGAAAGAAGTATTTATTTTACCCCATCAAGAATAGATAGATTTTTTGAAAGAGTTTCCATAAAAAGCTCAGCGTTGGAAACAGCGTATTCACAATTTTCCATCATTTGTTTTAAGTCAACAGCTTCCTTTTCAGTAATGGGTTGATAATCTGAACTAATAGGTGATGCCAAAAGATCTAAAAATTATTATATTATTAATTAAATAGAAAAATCAATCATTAACAAATTTTCTTGTGAATATAATTACACAAAAAAAAGACATTAGCAAACTCATTAAATTGAACAATAAAGACATACCAGGTGTAAATGTAATACTATCAGTTTCCTTCAATGCGGTTGGATCAATCAGCCACTCTTTAGGAATATTTTTAAATTCTGGCCTCTGAGTTAAGCTACACGAATAAGTATATAAATTACTAATAAACGTTCGTCTTTCTTGTACAGTAGTGGATGACCATTTGTAAACTTTGTCAATATGCATCTCTATGTCCATTGAATCATTTTTCACACCATCTATGATTTGTATATCGTTTAGAGACCATGATTGTTTCTTTTTATAAACATTTTTATCGTTCTTCTTCACTTGGTATAATATAAGAGATCCTGGAGTATCTGTTGTCATAGCCAGACATAGAAAACTCATCTTTTTTTTCTTGTAAGCTTTACTAACATAGCATACGCTGAGTAATTTTTCATCGCTAAGAGTAAATACTTCTCTTTGCAAAGTATGTCGTATAGCAGCCATAGCTAGAATTTCATTAATACATAGTTTATATTCTTTACTTATGATCTTCATTATTTAATCTTAAATATTGTTTGCTCATTCCTTCATTTCTAACTAACTCTAATTATTAACAAGAAACAATATTTATAACGGATTCTACGAGTCGGTAATCGATAGTCCTAGGTCTTATTGGTGAAGTTGACACATAGCCAACTTGTACGACTAATACTCGTATTCATTCAGTCCTACCTTAGTTTAAGAAGGAAGCCTCCATGAAGGATTCCTCGATTCTCCAAAATCTCTTTGTTTCATAAACGGATTTCAAGTTTGCTTTGCCGAAGGAAGGAATATTTTAGGGATTTTAGTAACCTATTGAGGATAGCATGTCACAATATACAATATATGCATACCTATCATGAATTACGAATAATAAAGGCTATAAAAGCATTGTTGATTAAATAAGATCGTGATTAAGCATTTTGCAACAATGAACAAAAATAAAACTAATAGTGAATTTGATTGGACGCACTCATTGCGCACTGATGCACATTGAAACCGCTGTACATAAAATAATGTAAATATATGTTTATAAATAAACATAGAATTAAATCGATTAAATTGAATGAAATACTCAATACGTTTTATTGTATTGTTAGATAAAATATGTATTTTATAATACATATAAAGTATTTTATATGTATTTTATAATACATATAAAATATATATTTTATAATATACAAAAATATGTATTTTATAATCAAAATATTTTCATTTTATTTTTATACTCAAATTAAATTAGTGTACAACGGCTTTAATATGCATCAGTGCTTTCAATCGAATTCGAAATACTTGTTATACGAAGGAAAAAATGCTTTTAGAGTTTATTCCCGAAAAAACCTATCAAAAATAATTATCGATGCGTCAGATTTAAATTAAAAGCTATCAAAAGTAAAAAGACCAGTATGACGAATTAAATTTGAAGATTTGCTTGATTATGAAGGCTATATCTCCTCCTCAAGGAAATTCGTGACTCTCTTGAGAAAAGAAAGCTAATAAGGCTCTTTGTTTGATCAAGGAAGGATTATGAAACATGAAGAAATAAGGAATCCTCATTTCTCAAGGAAAGACTATGAATACGGGTATAAGACTCTGGCTTCACCGATTAAGACTAAAACTTTCGGCTATCGATTCTCATTATAGAATCAGCATAAAGAATATTTACAGTGTACAGATTATGTTCCGAAACCGTTAATGATAATTATTCAGTTTAGCTTCCTCGCACCTTATAAAAATCAATTAAATCAGGCTTATTCGACGCATTTTTACATTAAACGAAAGAATTTGGTAGAAATAAGTGTCGTTCTGTTCCGCGAACCGAAATATCAATCGTTAAAGACGATTATTCAGGTTAAGAAATCTGTCAGCAACGCAAGCTAACTAAAGTATGTTTTTGTAAAGGTGTCTTTTCATGCCAGCGCTTGACGCTCATTTTCGGCATCAAAATAGAAGTGCCTTTTCATGCTGATATTCGACACTTATTTTCAGCGTCAAAATAGATCACGTCATCAAAGTTGATGCTTGATATTCGTCAATAATTCGTAAATAATTAATATTAACGTATATTCGTAAATAATTAATAAAATGTAATGACAAATAAATCTCAAAAATATTTATTATTTTGTTGTACTATTTTAAATATATATATAATATTAATATTTTACTTTAAATATTTTTAATTTTACGATATCTATTTTTTTTAATTTGGCTCTTTTTTCAATCAAGGATATGGCGTTAGGTCACGTGTTTCATGAATCTCAACATCAAAGGTATCGACACTCGATTCGAGCGTCAACATAAACATGCAGCTTTACTGATGTAATTGATTAAATTGGCTCGACGCTCATTTCGGCATCAAAATAAGTCACGTAATAGAAATAATTATAAATATATAATAAAAAACATAATAAACTAAATAAGAACATAATAATTAAAAAATGTAATAAACTAAAAAGAAAATAATAATATGAAAGTAATAAAAGTGAAAAGTACATCAAATTGCTGCCAAAGCCAGAAGTGAATTACAAAAAATTAAAGATGTTGTAAACTCACAGTTTTTCTATGACCGGACTGAGATTTGAAATCTATTAGCAAATTTCAATTATAAAATAAACGTACTCTACCATAAAAAGTTACCAAATATATTTTGAAAACTGTTTAAAAGGATAGCTAAAGATATTTTTGAAAAGATTGTTAATAATTTTATAACTACATTTCCTGTATAATAAAATCATATATATTATTAAAAATAATTTTAAAAATATTTTTATGTATTGTACAAAATCAGTTTTAATAAGTTACCAAATAGATTTTTTTTATAGAATTGTAAGTTCTATAAAAACAGTAAATAGTGTTAGTATCCCAGTAAACGAGAATGGACTAAAATGGATTGAAATTTTTTTCTATCCGAATGCGTATTTTAAATAGTGAATACTGTTTGGATTCAACTGGATACAATTAAGTGCAATTAGATTGAAAAACTGCATTTTCTATTCAAAATTTTGAATTAAATAGTATTCACAATGTGTGTTTTGCACAGAAAAAGTTAATATTATTTTTAGATTTAAAGGCTTTATAGAGATAAACTTCATGCAATTCCTATAAATAAATAAAAATGCATTCAAGATTGAAAGCATTCATTTTAACATTCGTGAATTAATATTTCTGAAAAATCTGAATCCATTCTCGTTTTGCTGGGTTGGTTTTTACATTCCGGTTTAAATCTTGATTCGGTTTAAACTCGGTGGAATTAGGCCAATGATAGATCGTAACTGAGTTATAAAACGCCAGTTATAGTCGATCAACGCACAATATTTTTCGGGATTGTGCACTGACCCATAATTATGACTTAGGTTCGATTTAGATGCGGCCGTCATTATGTTAAGTTGAGTCCAATTCAAAATTTTGAATAGGAAATGCAGTTTTTCAATCCAATTGCATCCAATTGAATTTAATTGAATCCAATTAAATCAAAAAAAAGTATTCGCTATTTAAAATACATATTCGGACAGAAAAAATTTCAATCCATTTTAATCCATTCTCGTTTGCTGGGAACCAACTACATTCGAGTATTCCCCTGTTACAGTTGAACGACAGGGAAATGCTCGACTGTAGTTGATTGGTTTTTACATTCTAATCCGGTTTAAACTCTCGGTAGAAATTATAAGCCATTGTGTTGAGGTCCATATAGCTAGCAACCCAGTAAATGAGAATGGATTGAAATGGATTCAGATTTTCAAATGTCTATGCCTTTTCTAAATGCATTTTTATTCATTTATAGTCTTACGTCCAAGCTCCGCATGCATGAAGGTGAGGGGGTGAACGCAATAGGAAATTATTAGACCGCATTATAGACCGATTTGGTCATGTGCAGACTCCGGACCGCAAGAGAACTGTGGGGAAGGACCAATGCAAATCGGGAGGCACTTCGCTTCGTTCCAAGGCTCCTAACGAGCCGGAGGTCGAATGAAAGATAAAGTGAAAACCTCAACTTGTGCTCTGCTAAACGAACACATGAGTCATATTTTTAATTTAAAGGGCCCAAACTGGATCAGTAGCGGGAGGACGCACTTTAACATCAGATGTGCCGGTACGTGCATATGTCCTGGCTTTCGATCATGGAACTTAATCCAAGTAACCTAGGAAAGGGCGAAATGAAACTACGGGAGAATTTACAATGAATACAAAGAGAGATTTTTTCAAATTAATTGACGAGGATTAAATTTAATAAAAGTAATATAATAAAAGAAATATTTAGTAATACATTTTTCTTAAATATAAAAATACAGCCTTTGGTTCTCTATTCTGAAGTATGGTCGTACGAATTTGTGTGTGTGTGTGTGTGTGTGTGTGTGTGTGTGTGTGTGTGTGTGTGTGTGTGTGTGGAAATAGAGTTGTGTGTGATATAGACGGTTATTTTAAGTGTGGAGAGTTTGGAAGGAAAAGGAGAAAATTAAAGTTATAAGCTCATATAAAGAAAAAAGATCGATGGGATGAGGGATGGTACGGGGACTGAAAATAAGCAAGTGAAGTCCTGTGTGTGCCAACTATCACTCAGTCTTTGATGGAAAGAATAAAATAGGACATGTATTCCAATAACTGATAGGCATTATGAAAGAGGAGAGGAAGATGATAGCAGGAGAGTAAACGTCAGGTTGAACGGGAGGAATTGAAGGGACAATATGCGGGAAATTCCTCAATCAAGGGTGGTGATATTGGATGTGAAACAGGAGGAGAACGGGAAGAGGTCATCGAAGAAGTCTGAGGAGACAGGAAAATAAAAAATTTCTAATAGCGATGATAGAGTCGAAGCTGGAGGCTGAACGACCGGAATCTGTTCTTGGACCGTTGCCTGAATTAGCGGAGATTGTTCTCTAGAGTTTTCCGCGGTGTAGGAGCGGACACGGAGTCGGCATTGTTATTCTCCGCTAGGGGATGAGGGACTGAAAAACTGAGTGAACACAAAAAGTGAATTAAAAATTTGGTCGTCTTTAAAGAGGGAATACACAAGAAGAGGAGGGACCATTCAATTGCAGCGAAATCCTAAGATTTACTACTTGGCAATGTATCGAGTGCCCGAGAGACCATCGGAGAGAGTGCTGTCGACTATGGGATGCTGGGCGGCAGATCCGCTTCATTAATTCCCGCGGTCAGCCAGTGCCGTTGATCTTAAGATAATAGTATGGTTTTGCACTCTATTGGAGAAAAAGAGTTTCGAGAATCGGAAGCCTTTTTCAAAGGTCCCGACAACTATAGCTTCTCCAAACTCAGAGAGAAAAATCACACTGAGGGCCGTGGAACCGCGGTTTTTATACTAATCGCCCCCGATTACTCCGATTTGGATTGGTGGAATAGATTTCGTTAACTAGTAGTAGGATTTTTCTTTGTTCTCGGATTAGTCAAGGAGAAGGAAAGGATGTCGGAGTCTATAGTATGGAAAAGTATTCTCTTAAATTTTATGACCTTAATATTTATGGGTGAACGTGCAGTCAAGAAAGCGCATGTGCAGCATCAGTACAAGATTTATCCCTACCCAGAATTTACTCCTGAACGTCGTGTGATAGATTTTGTGATCACGGATTCGTGAGAGTCGTCCGCGACTTAACCGTTAAAAAGTATTTTGGTGCCGGTCTTACGCTTTCAATGACATATTTTTTTTTTCGCAGTGTGTGAGGGGCATAAACTCAGTGTCCTTTTGCTCCCACCGCTCGTGCACGTGTATCGATTTTTAGTTTATCTCGGACTGACATTTATGAGGAGATACTGGATTCTTCGTTTTAGTTTTTAGTGTAAGAAAAGAAATTTTTCTTCTATAACACTCAATTTGTGCATTATTTGCAGCTGTCTTTTTATTTCAACGAATTCCAGATCTCCACGAAAGAAAAGAGTCGGGGGAGTCCGCTGGACGGAACAACAGGAATTGCATAGAGCATATGCCTCTATGCTTTTCAATCTAAAAATAATATTAGTATTTTCTGTGCATCGTACTACTCAATACTACTCAATTCAGTACTACTCAATACTACTCAATACTACTCAAGTACAATTTTTTAATTCAGTTAAATTCAAAAATAATATCAGCAATTTCTGCAACGTAAATACTGCTCAATTCAATATTCTGAATATGCAGTTTTTCAATCTAATTGAATAAAAAAAGTTTTTATTTAAAAATGGATCATAAATACTACTTAAATTATTCAAATTATAAATAAGAAATTTTTCTTTTTTATCCAACTAAGTTCAAAAAAGTTGTAACATAAAAATAATTGACCTATGTTTTTTGTTTTTCTTTAATCAGAAGTAAAATAAATGATCGTGAAATCAAGTCGAACATAGCCCGAATATTAGGCTATTACCGCGCGCAACATCGGTCAAGCGAGATTAGATTATACGAAATTTACCCAATGTTGTCTTATATTAATATAAATTGTTTATATTTTATTATATCTGTCAAATGATATTTTTATTATATCTATATAATTTCGTTTAGCTGGTTGTAATTAAAGTAGAGAATGAATAACAAATTTACCAATTGAAAGAGTGGTGTAGCGGGTAACGTAGAAGAATCATAATTCCAGGTTTCCACTAAAGTGCGTTTTTTTAATACCAATTTGAAATAGTTAATTTCAGATATAATTATTATAAATATTGTTAGGAATAAAATTTGTAAACTTTAAATATGTATTTTTTTTTTAAATATTAAACTAGTGTCAGCTCGGATCCAATCCATTTCAATTCATTCAATCCATTTAATCCATTTTCATGGATTTAAGGTACGCATTAAAAAAATTTTCCATTTTAATTCATTCTCCTTTGTTGGAAAGCACAAGAAATAGAACTCGTAGATGAAGAAGAAAATTATGCATGCAATGTAAAGGAAATGGTTTGTGATATCGATGATATTTCAATAGAATATAAAAGAGAAGCAGTTGAATATTGGAGAAGATTTAAAGTCAAGGACAATTGAAATCTGTAAACTCAAGATTTCGGAAAGTAATATCAGCAGGACAATTGTCATGATGGGAAAAGCAAATGAATGTAGATGGTAGTAAAATAGAAAAGTTGGGATTAATTTCAGCATATACATTAGATTTATTGAAGCAATTCATAGAGGGGCAAAGATCCATAATATTGATATTACACGATGGGCTTTGCAAGCGCAATAACAAGAAAACTTATTAGATTTTAAAGCATTACACGAATGAATTAAAAGATTTAAGCTCGCGCATCAAATTGTATCTAGAAAAGTTATGAAATTTATAACTAAAAAAGCTTTAATGTCAAAGGAAACTTTACAAGCAGACAGTAATAAGTTTATTGAAAATGTCAAATGTTATATATTGACCGTTATGGAATTGAAAATGTACATAATTCGGACCAAAGTGGTTTTCAATTAGAATGCTGATCGTACATTGAGAAAGCTAAAAAAAGTAAAAAAAGTAGAGAATGTAACACAATATCTGCGTCAATATCTGCGATTATGCACAGTTATACAATACAACCTGTTATTTCAACTAATAGTAGATTATTATCTCCACTTCTTATAATGTTAAAAAAACCTAATAGGATATTAAGTCTTAGAGAAACAAGAAACGATGTTTATCGCAAATAATATTTCTATTATGGCATCAAAAATGGCGATCAAATTTGGTAAACTAACATCAAATCATTTTGAAACTTGGATAAGGGAAGTATATTATCCAAATTGGATCAAATTCAGTTTTACTATTAGATTCATGGACTAGATAATTCATTGTCCGGATATAATTCAAAGAAATAGACCAGATTCAAAAGATATTGTTCTATTAATTATACCGGCTGGAACACAGGAGAAATACAACCGTTAGATTCCGTGGAATTTTGGATTCCGTGGAAGAATTTCAAGCATTTTTCAGATGTAGTCATACTTTTAGATCTTGATATAAAACTTCATTCTAGAAACTATTTTAAAATTACAATCATTAACGCACAATCAGTTTTCATCACCAAGATTTACTAATTTGTTTAAATATGCTTGGTACAAAAGTGAATATTTGGAACATAGGCTAGTAGAATTTGAAACACCGGTCGATTTTTACTAAAAAAAACATTCGAAATCGACATGCGATATTTGTAGTGAAATAGCTGTAATTACTTACGCATGGTGCAAAAAGTCTCTCTGCATAACACATTTTTTCATGAGCATCTTTGTGGTCAGTATGAACCGTAAATATTACAATGGTTTATATGTTTATTGTAAAAAACATTGTAGAAAACATTGTAAAATTAAAAATAATAATTAAAAAATTGTTATATTTTAATAATAAATACGAAAATATAATAACAAATATGAAATAAAATTCAACGTGACTGATTTTATTGTAACAAAAATATGAAATTAACAATAAGTTTAAAATTACTGTTTCGTTAGATTGGAAATAATAAAATTATCCGAAAAAGTTTTGTATTAAACATGTATATTCTGTTGTATACAATGGAGAAGAAAAGAAATTTTACAAATATGTATCCAGCAAACGAGAATGGATTGAAATGAATTGAAATGAATTCAGATTTTCAGAAATATTGATTCACGAATGTTAAAACGAATGCTTTTTAATTTTGAATCCATTTTTATTCATTTATAGGAATTGCATGGAGTATACTTCTATGCCTTTCAATCTAAAAATAATATTAGCTTTTTCTGTGCACACAAACACAATTGTGAATATTGTTCAATTCAAAATTTTGAATAAGGAATGCAATTTTTCAATCCAATTGAATTTAATTGAATCCAATTGAATTCAATTAAATCCAAAAAAAGTATTCGCTATTTAAAATATGCATTATCAGATA